ATAGATAGATAGACAGACAGATGGACAGACAGATAGACATGCAGATAGATAGATAGATAGATAGATAGATAGATAGATAGATAATACCAAATGAAACCAATAGTCTTTTGAGTAGATAGATGCATAGACAGAATGATAGAAAGGTGAATATATTGATAGTTACAGATAGATAGATAGTTAGATAGATAGATTCAGTTGGATTGATATAGAACATTTTATGATACCATTAATCTGCATTAAGTATCAAACTGATTATTAAAAATACCTTTAGAGTGGATCCTGGAATGAGGAACCTTTTAATGAATGTGAATGACCAAAGATGACCATTGAAGTTGGTAAACCAAACACTGAAGTCTGAGAACCCTGTAGTAGTCAGGGAGACAGACCACTCTGATGTCAACATTCTAAGGCTCTTGCCATAACTGACAAAGTGACAGATGCACCTCCTTTCATGTTTTGGCTTGAAATATTATTTTTGAAAAACTGTTGTTCCACAAGTGTTTAAATGGAGCACCAGATTTTCAAAATTGCAGATTAAAGGATAGTACATACAAATATGGATTGATAGATTGATAGATAGATAGGTATGTAGATAGATGAATAGATTAATATAGATAGAAAGATAATACTACATGATACTATAGTCTTTTAATTAGATTGAAAGAATTACAGATGGATAGATTGATACGTAGAATAAGATAGATAGATAGATAGACAGACATACAGATAGATGACAGACAGATAGATAGATAGACATAGATGGATAGATAAAAAACAGTTCATGATACCATTAATCTGTATTAAGAATCAAAACTAATTATTTAAAATACCTTTAGAGTGGATCCTGGAATGAAGAACCTTTCAATGACAGTGAAATTATCTTTTCCTTCCTTGGCACTAAGCACCAAAGATGGCCACAGCAGTTGGTAGACCAACCACTGAAGTCTGAGGACCCTGTAGTAGTCAGGGAGACAGACCACTCTGATGTCAACATTCTAAGGCTCATGTCATAACTCACAAAGTGACACATGCATTTCCTTGCATGATTTGGCTTGAAATATTATTTTTGAGAAACTATTGATCCACAAGTGTTTATAAGGAGCACCAGATTTTTACAACCATAGATGGATAGATTTATACATACAAATAGATATAGATAGAAAGATTGATAGATTGACAGATTGAGAGATGCAGATAGATAGATAGATAGATAGATAGATAGATAGATAGATATAGAATCCTTTATGTTACCTTTCGTCTGTCAACTAGACAGATAGACAGACATACAAAGAGGTATATTTATAGATAGATAGGTAGATAGATAGACAGAGATAGAGAGATATATAGATAATACACACATATAGATGTATAGTTATAGATTATTTCATGATACGATTAGTCTAACATAAAAATCATAACTACATATTAACAATACCTTTTCAGTGGATCCTGGAATTGAGAAACTTTTAATGAATGTGAGGTTATCTTTTCCTTTCTTGGCACTAAGCTCCAAAGATGGCCACAGCAGTTAGTATACAAAGCACTTAAGTCTGAGGAACCTGCAGTACTCAGGGAGACAGATCACATTCATAGTCAACATTCTAGGGCTCATGCCATAACTGAAAAAAATGACACAGGCATTTTATTTTCTTCAACATTTTGGCTTTTAAAAATATTTTTGAATTATTGTCAAACCACAATTGCTTGTTTTAACTATAGGTTTTCATAACCACAGGTAGATAGATGGATAGACGGATGATAGATAGATAGGTAGATAGATAGATAGATAGATAGATAGATAGATAGATAGATAGATAGACTCACTAGCAATGTGCTTCCTCAAACTCTTGTGTACTAACCTAATCAGACACACAGGACTATTTTCTGTTGCTCACTCTTTTGAAAGGACAAATGGCCTCGTTTACACTGTTTTTCCTCTGTTCATGGGAACCTGGTAGTGTCACATCAGAGCAAATGACCTTAAGCGTTCCAATAACATTAATACCCTCAGAAGGCAGCACTTGCAAGGGCAGAGTAGCTTCCTTACAGGCTTTCTCTCTTAAAAGTGATACTACCTACCAATGCTGCAAAACTTGAGACTAAATTAGAGCAGACTGGTCCATTAGGACCAAATCACATCCAACGAAAGAACCAGGATGTGAATCTTGATACAATGAAGAGTAAGAAATTCCCACTAAATATAAGGTTTCTTAATACTATTCTCCACTGAAGACCATAGCTGACAACCTATGTCCAGTCCATTATGTTGTCTAGTTGGTTCAGTTTGCTTGATTTGTATCATTTTAAAGAACGAATTATATTCAGGAGTATATGGAATATGCAATAATTTTTATTTTATTCCAGTAACCATACTTGGAGGCTCATTTAATCATTCATATTATTTATTATATATTATGAAATGTTCAATTATATATGTAACATGCTTAACGACTTTCCTGGGAAACACCTACAGTAGTTCTATACAAACTATTTCATCATTGATAAACTTATGGTTGCTTCCGGTTTAGAAATACAATTGTTAAAATCATTTTGTAATATATCTTTAAAAGGTGTGAGATTTTAATTTTGAACTGTACCCCTAATGAGGATGATGACCACTGTGTGTATGATAATAGGTTTTCTCTTTCATATTTAAATTTTCTATTTTATATATTGAAATATTCCAACAGGACCAAGATTGCTAGAGAAAATATCTTAGATGCATATCAACATGATAGCCCTTTGTCTACAGTCTCTCAATTGATTTCAACCCCATCAGTTAGTGGGCTTTGCATTGCATGGTTTTATAGGGGGCAGAAGCAGCATGGGCTTGTCCTCTTTGTAATAATTCTGCAGATATAACATTAGCTGTGTCCATTTGTCTAAAGCAAACCACACTAGGCACTTTCAGCAATCTTTCTGCCAGGATTTTAATAATAGTGATTTTACTTACAAGCCCAACCAACGGGAAAACGTAGAGGAAAATAAATGCAGATTTCAAATCCTTAGTAGATTATTTTTCTAATAATCAAATTTAAGTAAAATTATTTCTACTTACATAAAGCTCTTAAAATGTGTATGTACACATTCTTGATTTTGTTTATATCAATATTTTCAATCAACAAGTGAGCTTATTTTAGAAATAGTGTGTTTGGTGACGTTTATATGCTTGTCTTACAAAAACAAATTACATCATGTTCTATTGGTTTTAAGTATTTTAAGGTACAAATCTTGAATAAACTCAAAATGATTACTTAATCTCAATAAATTAACCCAATTAAATTATTTTTCATAGAGTGCATGGTATTGGTTATCCAAATTATCTTGTCCACTCATGATTTCCTGTCTCCTGATCCTGCTCTAATCCTCACTGTGAATTTAATCACCCTCTTCACATTTGTGTTTCCAATGAAAACCCAGGGAACTATGGCAAATCATGAGTGTGATTTCTCAGAACCAATCGTTCAAAGATACGTGTACAGGGCTGGAGAGATGGCTCAGTGGTTAAGAGCATTGCCTGCTCTTCCAAAGGTCCTGAGTTCAATTCCCGGCAACCACATGGTGGCTCACAACCATCTGTAATGAGGTCTGGTGCCCTCTTCTGGCTTGCAGGCATTCACGCAGAAAAAATATTGTATAAATAATAAATAAATAAATATTAAAAAAAGATACGTGTACAATCTCTAATTTCAAAAGCCACATTACTCAGCTCAGAAACTCTTCATAAAATGAGATTTAAGCATTTCAAGGCATAATCTCTTTGTGTGTGTGTGTGTGTGTGTGTGTGTGTGTGCACGCGCACACATATGTATTTAAATTTAATTGGGTTTTAATCATTCTAGACTAAACATCCATTTTGTGTATTTTTTATGACAACAGAGTATACTCAACTAAATATTAAAGTTAAATGTTCCAGTCAATAGGTGAGCCGAGTATTGTCAGTATTTTATTTTAAAACAGTGGCGTACATAGCTGGGCAGTGGAGAGCATTCCTTTAATACCAGCACTCAGGAGACACAGACAGCAGTTCTCTGTGATTCTGAGGCCAGCCTGGTCTAGAGAGCGAGTTCCAGGACAGCCAGGCCACACAGAGAAACCCTGTGTTGAAAAACCAAACAAAACAAAAAAAGGAGTATATATTAATGTATTTTTATTTCACTACACTAACAGAAAAAATATTTTCATTCTCCCTTAAGTGTGTGTATATATATATGTAATATAAGACGTTATTTTGATATATTAACTATTTAATTATATATAAAATATAACATTGATGGAATTACACAAAGACAAACAGGTCAATGTTACATTTTATTGAAAGAAATTCAGGTTAACCCTTAAAGCACTGATAGTCCAGTGTTAACATTTAAATTCTGCCTATGCCTTTTAATTTAATATCTCTCTAGTTTTTAGTTAGTTTGTTTTTTTTTACAGAAAATTAATTTTATTCATAGCATTTTAGAACACATTGTGGTCTAGCCATTCTATTCTAAGTTTTTTTTTGAAAATATCTGTAGATTTATGTTTGTTTTCTGGATAATTCCATGTCCAGGCTCTCATTGGAGTATACAGAATAAAATTTTTATCTCATTAAAGAATAAAGTTTCTCTGCAATGGTAATTGCTATGACTCTGCAGTCATCAAAAGACATTTTCAGAAAATTTCCCTTTGGTGTATGCACTGCTGAAGTGAGTCTCATGCATGTACTGTTATAGGAGAGGAAAACTTGCATAATACTTCATAATATTCATGTCTGAGCTCTTTATGCAGAATTCCTCTGATTATTTCATTCTCCTTACACAAAGAATTTAAAAGTTACTGATTCAAAATTTATTTGACTAATTTGTATTTTAAGAAAAAAATAATAATATCTCTAGCCTTTAAAAATGTGTGATGTTTTGTTATGGCATGTAACAAATACTTGTTTATGGAATGTTTACATTCATTTTGGGGTAGTATTTTAAATTTTAATGGAATAATGATAACATTTAATAATATAAATTATATTGGACAGAAGTCTGTTAATCGAAATAATAAAGAATGTATTTGGTATGATTGAGTATATGAATATTATTTTACTTCAGATGTAAAATACATAGACACGTTTGTCTTTGGGTTTAATTTGCTTATGGTCAGAAATAACATGGATATTTTTGTATGGATCTCATTAAAATTATTAGAAACACTTCAAACTTCACCAATAATAAGAAGAATATCCGTTACCAAAAGAGGAAAACACTGAGAGTAAACAATACACACACTTTGAAATTAATTACTAAGACATCAAACTGAATGAATAATCAGCAGATATATTTTTGACAACAAGGTAAAATGAAGAATGAGGACATTAGAAGATTATGAAAATTCCAGAACATCTTTAATAATCTAGAGTCACATTGCGTGGAGTTCAGGCATAAACAAATATAGAACCCAAAGTTGTGTTGAAGTCTCTCTGACCTCTCCGGCCTATGTCTAAAGCAATATTCTTTTTTCTTCTCTTTTTAGAGTTCCTGACTTAAATGACATGATCGATTTTACCATATTCCATCAAGTATGAAGTGAACCTGGATCATACTCACCTCCCAGGTACTTTGATCCTTTCTTTTTCTTTTTTATCTCTACAAATGTGATATAGGGGGTGGCGACATTTTTCTACAGTTTTCTTAATTTGACTGAAGGAAATTCCCCCGAGGGTGATTCTACTGTCCCCAAACCCTTCCCTGGATGTCTCTTCATCCAAGGAAGCTACACACTGGGGCAAGAATAAGCTGAAATGTGTCACTATGCTTATACAGACTTTTTACATCTACTTGTGAAAAATTCAGAAGAGCAGGGGACTGCAAAGCAAAGGGATCGTATCTCTCATGACAATCTGTCCCCACCTTCTCACATGCCAGGGGAAATTCAAATCAAATGCTTGTCTTGCTTT